GGCGGAGGGGGATTGGAGTTTGCCATATTCCACTTCCGCCATATATGTGGTCAATTTTTGACCACCCTCATTCGTTTTCCTGCTCTTCACTACCACAGTAGTCATCCATTCCATGTGGGTGTTTGAATTCAACATATGCACCTCATTCACAGATTTCGAAGGAAGCAAATACATCACATCATTCTTACAGGCAATACAAGGCACACACTAGTTAGCTATGTCAGTTTGCGAACTTGGATAAGTGTGAGTCGAGGAGTATCTTTCGGAATTTTGCAAGCCAGCAGTCTGCTACAACTCGTGTGTTTCCTCTTGGCAATTTCCACAATGGGTTTTGCTGCAGATCACATTTGTTTCGGCGTGTTGTTTCACTTTGCTCAGACGTTTCCTCGACTTTATGAGACGTTGAATTTCACAGCATTTAATGTGAGAAGTCGGCTTCCTTTATTCGTTTGTATGAGGTTGTTGTGAGCAATGTCATCTTTAAGTGCAAGTTTTATGGTAGAGGCTATAAAAAATGAAGTAAAAAAGTGCGAATTCCAATTTGTGAGTGATGGACACATTTTTTAACAGCAGTTAGTCAAGAAACTGTGGTGTGGCAGTACACTACGTGCAGATCAGATGGTCAGTTATGTAACTCACATCCCCCTCCCCCCCCCATAGCAGCCTCATAGCCCTCCAGTTCATTCTGAATTCTTTCTACCCTGTTGAGTGATCTCCTGAGATTTTTATATACGCTACGGTTCATCACGATGCTTATTATTCTAGTCCATAATCGAGGTTTATTTCATTATACATCCACTTTTGTTGTCATCACGACTATAAATGAATAAGTGCCCCAGGTTTCAAATGAAACTTAATGTCTGCGGGCACCCTTAACTCTTCTAGAAGAAAAATAACGTAGTTTGTGTGGCAAAATTTCAATGCCTTGTTTTTGAACTTACGAAATTTGTTGTAATCGCTGTTGAAAGCTTTATTTCATTAAATTTAAAGCCTCCTGTTGCGAGTCATTATACAAAGACCCACAAATGTATGAGGGGTAGCTATTAAGCTAACATGCATAAGCTAGAAGTGGCTGATATGACATGAGTGCTCCCAATAAACACCTATTCAATTTGTTTGCAAGGTTTAAAAATTTATTAAAATGAATAAATCCCATTCAATTATATGGAGTTAAAAAATCTCAAGTTTTAATTCTTCGCTTGAGAGAAATCTATTTGATCAAAACCAGCCATATTTTAACTTGACCGTTCCACCCTTCTCCCCGCTTTTTCCAACCGAAATGCTTGAATCGGTGTCGAGTAACAAACACAGCATTTTCACTTTGTTATATGCCCAGAGTAACTTTGTATAAATATATGAGTGTAAGAGAAGTAAGTTGAATTTTAATACGCATACTTTTCATAGTGGTCTATTCTTCTCATAAAACTCTTTCGAATGAATATTTTGTGCCAGTAACTAGAAAAAAAGCATTTCAAATTTGAAAGTCACTATAAGATGCAACGAAAACCCTAAAAATATTTGTGCAATAAGACTTTTAAGATTTCTGGTGGTTTTATAATTCTTCATACTTCAAAGCAATTAGCAAATGGAGTCAATTGAAAATACCAATTATAAATGACCTTCAGGTTGTCTAATAGACAGATTATATATATTTTTCAAAGTTTATCACATGGACTATTAATTTACAAAATATTATTAAAAAATGAAATGATATAAAATTTTGATTTAATGACTGATTTCTGTTGCTTTCAACAATTACAAATTAATTTTTTTCTCTAGGAACCGAGGATATCAGAATGAAAAGAAAACATTTACAAAGTTTAAAAATGTCTAAATGCAGGAAGTGTTATGATCGAGCTTCAGGGGTGTGCTATAGACTTACCTCCACGTGGTGCACCCTGGGCAACGTATACTCATACGGTAAAAAAGTCTATTAACTGGCAGTTGACCTCTGACTTCAAACTACCATGACCCCACTGTATGTCATATTCGACCCCTTCCAAAGTACTCATCTAACCTTTTCTCTACCTTTGTGTCTGTCTCCTTTAAATCTTTGAAACATTCTCCTGTACCCCCCCCCCCTCTCGACTTTTTCACTTTGATATTCCTTCCCCTCTGTGAAGCCTGAAGTCAGCTAAAGGACTAATGACAACTATCAAAACGCCTGCCATCACTCAAAAGTGAAAAAATAAATGTAAATACATGTGGTTCTGATTGACGGGTTCTGCGTGTTTTGTTTTCTTTTTCACGAAATTATCAGCTAAACACGCACGCAAGCAACTTGCGGACTAAGGTGGAGGCATCAATGGCCACCACAACTCTTACCCACGTTTTGTATTGCTCGGTTCTTCGCTGAAAGTGTGCTAACCAATTAGGCAGAGATTTTCGAGTTTCAGGTGCGAGGTTGCGCCAGTTGCTAGGCAGTTGGCCATTGCAAAGAGAGATAGCCATTTGCTCAAGGTCACTGGAAAGTGCCACCTCTCCGGACAGGGACCGTTTCAACTCGCCCAGAGAAGTCTGCATTTGATTAACTAGACGATTGAAATGAGATAGTTCCTAGGAAATAAAGCAAATATTAGCGTTTCACAGACAATTCCATCATTTAGTGCAGTGATTACTTTCAAGTTGACACAGGCAGACACTATAAAATTACTATAAAAAGACTAAAATGAGCTAACTTATATTGCTATTTTAACTGTTTGAAAGTGAGCTCTTGTGAATTTGCTTGATGAGTTCCGAATTCATCTGAGCAAAAGCATCAATCAAACGAATTCAAATGCTAAGTTGTATTTTAACTAAAGGGAATTAATCTGTGCTTTTAGACATAGCTCAAGAAGAATTTAAACGGAAGAAAATATTTAAATTTCCACGCACACAAGCAATATCAGCACTTGATGATAAATGCGCAAATTTTAGATCAGATCTTCTTTTTTCATATGAATGAAATGCAACCCATGCTTATAAAGCGTGTTTCAGGTTCCACTTAGCATGGCTAATTAAATTACTTGTAGAAGAACGACCGTTGTTGGAGTCATTTTACTCCTCAATGATTCCCTCAAGGCTTCCCTGTCGAAAGGAGATGGAAGAGACTGCAGAATCCTCTCGGTGACTTCGCTGGCTAGGGACATATCAGAAGCGGCAGAATTAGCCCCTAGACCATCGCTTTCAGAGTCTCTTCGAAGAATTAGAAGATGATTCCACAATTTATGCGCCTGTGATGTGAAGCTGTCGATTTCAGCATTGGCATTGAGACCTAGAACTTCTGGAGGGCTGTTTATTGGCAAGCTGTCTATGTACTCTAAATGAAGGTAAAGAAATCGAACAGTTTATTATTCAAATTAATTTATGAGTATAGATTCATCGAAATTTTTTCTTAACTACCCTAGGTTCATGTTTTACCGGTGGTAGCTACAAGTGGTTCTTTCAGCTGGGATGAATGAACTATGGCATCTTGATGCTTTCACGTTACGTACTTTTTATTAATAAAATTTCAGTTGGAGCTTCGTAGCAAGATCATTCATTTAAAGGAGGCGAAAGAGGTCACTAATCCACACTGACCAAAACGTTACGGATGGATGAATTCGGAAGTACTTGTGTTTCATATTTATTTTGTTTGAGTTTAAACTTTATTAAGAACATAATTAAACAAGACAGTCAACTGAAAGAAAGCTTGCCGTTTTAAAATTTCTGTTTACTTATCTTTATTTACATTCGTCAGAGAAATTAGAAAGACTCGCTTTAAGTACTGTATACGCAGTAATTATCACGATTATTTCAAATTTAACTTTAAACCCATTTATATTTCTTCTGCTCAATGAAAATAAGCTTTCCCTACTATGAAGGGCATAAGGGAGATATTTTTTACATTTCAAGTCAAATCAGGGAGGTTAGTCACTTTTA